AGATAGATAGATAGATAGATAGATAGATAGATAGATAGATAGATAGAATTCTTTATTGGCCAAGTGTGATTGGACACACCAGGAATTTGTCTTGGTGCATATGATAGGATAGGATAGAATAGGATAACAGAGTTGGAAGGGACCTTGGAGGTCTTCTAGCCCAACCCCCTGCTTAGGCAGAAAACCCTTCACCACTTCAGACAAATGGATGTCCAACCTCTTCTTAAAAACTTTCAGTGTTGAAGCATTCACAACCTCTGGAGGCAAGTTGTTCCACTGATTCTTGCCACTGATTATCTTTGATATTAGTGTAACTGTTGTCCTGCAGCAAGTTGCCCCATGGTGAGATGGCCATGGTGACTTGTCCTGCAGCAAGTTGGCTGTGGCAAGTTGGCCATGGAGAATTGGCCATGGCGGAATGTCATGGACCCATCTCAGAGAACCCTACCACAATCTGGTGAAGTGAGCTCTACTTTTGGAACCTTTTTCATAAAATCTGTTATTCGGAAGGGTGATTAAGTGGTTCCAGATTCCTTCAGATTCCTGATTAACACAGCTCTCCTACAATGCCCAAAGGAGAAGAGATCCTGGTAAGAATAGAAGACTTTCCCTCCCAATCTCATTGAAAATTCTCCTGCACGACTCTCTCCCTTCACATTCAGTTGAGCAGATGCATAGAAGAATTTCCCCAAGGACTGGGTTTGAGACATAGGTTGGATTTCTCTCTCACCTTGCTGTTCCCAAATTAGTAACTAAAAGATAGGAATTTTTTTTTTAAATAACTGCTTGGTTGAAATACTCAGGGCCCCTGAGATTTTTAACCTGACAGACTCATTAAAAAAAAAAATCTGCAATATTTTACTTCCTTTGCTGTTTCATGGTCCTGTCTGGCAAAGTACAGGTAGGCCTTGACTTACAACACTTCATTTAATGATGGTTCAAAGTTCCAATGGCACTGAAAAAAGTGACTTATGTCTTATGTTTTTCACACTTATCACCATTGCAGCATCCCCTGTGGTCACATGGTCAAAATTCAGACCCTTGGGCAATTGAGTCATATTTATGACAGTTGCAGTGTCCTGGGGTCAAGTGATCCACCTTAGCAAACTTCTGACAAGCAGAGTCAATGGACAAGCCAGATGCCCGTTAAAAACTGCAGTGGCAAGGAAGGTGATAAAATGGTGCAAAACTCATTTAACACTTGTCTCACTTAGCAAGATAAATGTTGGGCTCAATTGTGGTTGTAGGTTGAGGAGTACCTGTATTAGCTCCAGATGATTCTATCTGCGCCGCGATGATGCAGTGGTTTGAATGCAGTACTGCAGGCTACTTCTGTTGACTGCCGGCTGCCTGCAATTTGGCAGTTCAAATCTCACCAAACTCAAGGTTGACTCAAGGTTGAGTCTTCCATCCTTCCGAGGTGGGCAAAATGAGGACCCAGACTGTTGGGAGCAATAGGCTGACACTGTAAAACCACTTAGAGAGGGCTGTAAATCCACTGTGAAGCGGTATATAAAAGTGCTATTGCTTCCTTCCCTCCCTTCATTCTCTCCCTCCCTTTTCCCTTTTCCCCTTCCTTCCTTCCTTCCTTCCTTCCTTCCTTCCTTCCTTCCTTCCT